AGACTACTTGAAATCACTGACCAGCATCTTATACATAGTGCAGATGTATTCACCCTGTAGCGCTAAATAAATCCCTAAAATAAATAGCTCTCTCAGTTTTCAACATTGAATGCTGACCACATATTTTAATGGACTCACCTAGCTGAAGGCGCTCGGTCATGCATCCGCACCAGATCACGTGTAAATATGCCGTGCTCAACATCTACCGCAATCGCTAGCCAGATTAGATTAGGCAATTCCGATATATTGGTTATCGCCAAATACACTCTTCCGATCTCCTCGACTCTATCCTTTGATTTCTCTTGGTGGTTACGAATTATATTTAAAGGTGTTGCTGGTAAAAGCGTTGTCAAACACTGAATACCTGCATCATCCTCATTGGTGAGACCGACGTGATATAGTACACCTAATTGCAACTGTGAGTCCGTTTCTTTTTGGGATTTTTATATATCATTGCCTTATTTTTTTTAAACATTGTGATTTTTTTCGTGTTTTTTCTTAAATATATATATTTTTTCATATTTCATCATGACTGAACAGACACCCAAAGTACTCAAGCTTAAGACATTGTCCCCGCATTCGTTTCAACTGATGCCTTTATGGCTCGACAATATCGAAGCCTGGTTCTGCTACGCAGAAGCCGACTTCCACGAGCACGGCGTGATCGACACACGTGCACAGCTCTTCGCAGTAATCAAGGCACTACCGCGCGAATTCAACAGAAACGTAACACCTAGTATGTTTACTAGTGATGTTTCCCAGACTTACGAAACCCTAAAACGTTCGATTTAAAATACGGAAGACCTAACCGATCGACAAAGGTTAGATCAACTCTTCAATAACGTCGACCTGCAACACGGTTCTGCGACGGACATGTTGCAACGAATTAGAGAAGTGATTGGCCTAAGAACTTTCGACGAAGGCCTATTTAAACAGCTTTTCTTGTCTAACCTTCCTCAACAGGTGCAAGCGGTTCTGGTCTCGTTTCAGAACAATGCCTGAGACGAACTGACTGCATCTGCCGATCGTATTTTAGAAATAACGAAATCGTCTACTACAGAGGCATTTTCAGTCAAAGGAAAGCCTCAAACGACTCAGAATGATATAACCGAGTTATGTCATACACTCACGCGTTATCTTAATCTTCGTAACAACCGTAATCGCTAACACAGCTCACGTAGAAGTATTTCATGTGAGCGATCTGTCTCTAGACCACGAGGGACGGGTAACCCCGATTGGTGCTGGTATCATAACCAGTATGGAATGTCTTCCAGAAATTGCAGAAAACCCTGCAATTTTCCCAACACGCAACCGACTGACTCGAAAAACAACTCGGAAAACTTCCAAGCCGTCACGCGTTAACGGCAACCGTAGCCGGCGAACATAGCCCTCTGTTACACGTCACATATGTGACAACTGTAGTTCGCTACCTCGTCGACACTGGCGCAGAAGTTAGCGTTCTCCCAGCAAATCTTAACGACCGCCTTCACGAATCGGCTCCAACCTTACAGGCGGCAAACGGAAAATCTATCGCTATGTATGGCAAAAGGTACGTCTACCTTAACGTGGGTTTACGCAAACCCATTCATTGGATTTTCGTTGTTGCAGATGTTTCTATGCCAATCATTGGTATGGATCTTCTACAACATCATAATCTAATCATCGACACGCGCAAACGGAGGCTAGTAGACGGAAACACTAATTTGTCTGTTTGCGTAACTTATTTTTCTGGTTGCAGATTATCTGCAGTCACGGTTAAGCATATGATAGACCCACTTTATCAACCACTACTCGATACGTACCATGGAATACAACAAGCTCAAACGAAACTACCGTGTGTAACCAGCAACGTTACACATCACATCACGATTATAGGACCACTTGTATTCTCTAAAGCACGACGACTAGCCCCCGAAAAGCTAAGGTTAACGAAAAACGAATTCCAACACATGATAGACTTAGGAAGCATACGATCGTCAAACAACCCATATGCATCGCCATTGCACATGGTCACTAAAAAGGACAGCAACGTTTGGAGTCCAACTGGTGACTATCGGCGATTGAATGCAAAAACCATTCTCGATCGTTACCCGTTGCCTCACATTCACGATTTGACAGCTACCTTAAAAAGTACAACTGTCTTTTCAAAAATCGACTTGGTTAAAGCGTATAATCAAAGTCCCATGGCCACAGACGACATACCGAAAACCGCCATCATTACTCCTTTCGGACTGTAGGAATTTTTGCGAATGCCTTTCGACCTAAGAAACGGTGCTCAAACATTCCGAAGTTTCATAGACGACGCTTTCCGAGGTCTCGAATTCGTACAGACGTATGTTGACGACTGCCTAATAGCAAGTACGGACAGAGAATCACATCTCAAGCATCTGGATCTTGTTTTCGAAAGACTACAGAAACATGGCATTACTGTAAACGTTCAGAAATGCCAAATCGGAACTGACTCATTAAACTTCCTAGGACACACTATCGATGCTCAAGGCATTCGACCCCTTACAACCAAAGTGGCGGCAATTCTGGATTACACAGAACCAACCACGTCATGCAACTACGAACGTTTAACGGCCTTGTAAGTTTCTATAGACGCTTCATACCGAAATAAGCTTTACTCATGAAATCTCTTACCGATCAACTTCGTGGAAATGCGAAATCCATTAATTTGGACGACACCGCACGAAAGGCATTCTGCACAGCTAAGAAACTGGTCGCCAAAGCAACAATGCACGCACATCTGGACACCGAAGCACCCATTAGTATCGCAGTAGACGCATCCGACTCGGCAATCGGAGGAATCTTACAACAATGGGTTAGCAACTCCTTACTTGTCAGACATGTTGGAAGCCTAAGATTGATGCTAAAGTAAGTTGAAAATCAAAAATCTGTCCTGTTTGTTCTGAATAAATTATCATACAACAAGACTACTTGAAATCACTGACCAGCATCTTATACATAGTGCAGATGTATTCACCCTGTAGCGCTAAATAAATCCCTAAAATAAATAGCTCTCTCAGTTTTCAACATTGAATGCTGACCACATATTTTAATGGACTCACCTAGCTAAAGGCGCTCGGTCATGCATCCGCACCAGATCACGTGTGGATATGCCGTGCTCAACATCTACCGCAATCGCTAGCCAGATTAGATCAGGCAATTCCGATATATTGGTTATCGCCAAATACACTCTTCCGATCTCCTCGACTCTATCCTTTGATTTCTCTTGGTGATTACGAATTATATTAAAAGGTGTTGCTGGTAAAAGCGTTGTCAAACACTGAATACCTGTGCCATCTTCAATGCGTATTACTGCGTCTAATTCTTGAATTCGTATTATGTTTTATTTGATATTAACTGAAACTCGAAATGTTTAGAAGTGGAAGTGGTGAACGTTCCCAGTGGAAAATTTACTCAAAGTGCGACGAATGATCTATTCTGTCGTGAAGGAATACAGAATGGATTAGTAACTCGTAATGAAACCTGTTCCACAGGAAAATATGTTAACAGCTACTCTCACTTCAATGGTTTAGAAAAAAATTCCGTTAGAACGTTAAACAGTGCTAACACATAAGTGAGTGCAATTATTCTGGAAGAGCCAAAAAAAACATCAATACGAGTATCATAATTTAGATGAATAATCAGATGATGAAGATTCTTGATTTAAATAACTATTTGATTTACAAAACGTGAATATGATGATCAAGTTAAAATTCGTGAGTAAGACGAAGTGGCAATTCAATGATTAAAGCTTTTGAAGGTTTCCTAAGTTTCCGATTCATGATCGCAATAAAAACTCAACAATCTTCACAACCCGAGACTGATACATATGCACCATACAAATCATTTAATTTTTGTGAGGGCTAGGATACTGCACAGTCGCCTTAACCGAAAAAGGTGGTTTTCTTTAAATACCGCACCCGGATCCTTTGACCTAAGCGTTTGATCCACAAGGCAGTGAAGCAAAGTCAGAAGATACAATCCCGTGGTAGCCGATGGCCAACAACTGGCTTATACTTCATTTATTTCTTCAATATCCTGGAGTTCATGTGCACCGTTGGTTTGTAATCAGAGCTTTCCGATTTCACCGAGCAGATTCTTCATATCCAATGACCTGGTTACAAAGCTGGACATTTGCTCTTCCTTCTCACAATTTCATAAACAAAACCCTCATCTAAAGAAGGCAGTAAATAGAACTTCCCTGTTAGTAGCCGTATAGCATATGAGACGATTTCCAAAGGTAGAGTTGACTATTTCCATCCTTTATCGTACCATCGCGTTTAAGGGCACATATATTTACATACCTACTGATAATGTAGTCAATAAAGACTAATTTTTTATTTGACAAATTCCGTATTCAAAAAGAACAACGTCAACAACAAACTGGACCTCACTATTACAAATATCCATCAAAACTAAACAGATTTCATATCAATCAATCAATCACGATAAAGCATCACTTGTAATGAGATGATAATGTATTATATCTGTTATAGCCCAAAGCTGCCAATCAGAAGCAGCGAATCATCGACCGGATTAACGATGCATAGAACCCGTGAGAGCAGTCTAGTATCCCTGTTGGCCCTCCTTTGTGCCTAGCCTAGCCAGTTAATTCCAGAACACCAATCTCAGCCTGTGCAATATGAATCAATTATTTCAAACACACTGGGTTTATATACTAACCAGACAGTCAATATCGTACCAATAAAAATAGGAAACAACATTTGTACAAGATTTAGCCAAAAGTGGCTGTGAGTATGGGAGGTAGTAAATGATAGACTGGGTATAATTCAAGAATGATAAAACGTATAATAATGATTCATAATTCAAAATAAAGCATATAATAAGGAGAATATGAATATGAATAGCTTAGTTATTCAACAATTATATGATAAAAAATATACGCACAGTATCGGTCCATCAATAGGATCCCAAAAGTTACCATACATTATGTTTATCGGGACCTAACAATATTATACCATACCATACCATTATACATATTTCTTACGTGCATTCACTCTAGCATATGTCAATAATATCCATAATGATGTTGGTAATAAATCAAATAAATAAGCTTTATATTCATGTAATATATAACCAGTAGTTTGTTGTACTACACCATACATATTTAATGCACTATGAACAAATAATTTAGCGGATGGATTAAAATACGATGGTTTTTCATGTTTAGTCATTGATGTATAGATAGTTAATGGACATAATATTTGTATAATCACATTCTTTTGATACTTTTCAGCAGATAGACATTTAAAAAATTGTATTATAAATGCTTTTGTTGAGGAATATACAGTTAAATATGGAGTTGTTCTAAGTGCTGAATAAGATGCAATGTTTATAATACCAGGATTAGATCCTTTCTGTGTTAACATTTTGGTAGAATAATGCTTGTCATCATTACTGTAGACAAAATGTTACAACGAATGATATTTTGAATAGATGCTTGATTTGGTGAACCAATCTCTCCAGTAAATAACTCTAACGGTAATCCCATACCAACATTATTCACTAAACAAGCAATTGTAGATAATTGATCAATAGCAGGTCTTATTATATCATATGTATCATTCTAAAAATATATATAAAACGAGGAAGAATTTGAAATGAATAAGATTAGATTGGTGATAATGTGAATGATTATGTAATATAACGCAGTTAAAAATGTACTGAAGTTACTTACTTACTCCTCGTGGAGGATCATAGGCCTCTCCACCAGAATAATGTGCTTTGATGATCCTAGATTCGTGAGATTCCCATTCTACAATATAATGTGCAATAAAATGCTTCTTTGGACGGTATTAGAGCAACTTTCTGGTTGTATGGAGTGTTATCCTATTCCTGCTTGGAGTATAGCAACATCTCTTCCGTATTTAGCATTTGTTGTTCAGCCTCAGTCTAATGGGTTTCGTTGATTCTTAGTACTGCCAATTTATATCTCCTCATTTCCGTTTCCATTTGGCTGATTCTCTTGATATTCCACAGTACTCGAATGTTCCATGTATCTATAAAAATTGTTCCTCTGGTTGTAAGAAGGCGCATCGGCTTCGTGACTTCCGATGGAACTCGGCTTTCACCATGAGGCGTCATAACTCCTCTAAATGAAGACCTTGGGAACTGTAGTAACTCTAAAAGAGCTGTAGGCGGAGTGAAAAGTTAGATATAATAATATATGTTATATATTATGTCAATAAATATTTTACTCACTTAAAAATATGATGATACATCGGTCATGGTGAGTGATAACCAACAGACAACAGCCTTTCAGCTACACTGTTAACTATCATTCATAACAGTGTATTTTGAATCTGTCATTAGTCTCATACTTCACACAACTTCAAAGTAGTTTTAATCAATTCTGTATATCTAAAGACGTCAACATTGAACTACTTAACTAAATGAGAAAAATTAGCCACAGAGATCAAACTACATTTTCTATGGTCACATATTCAGTGTTAATTGGCATGTGAATTCGAATTTCGGTATTATGCAGTGTAGCTTGATGCAACTGACAATCTTATTTGAATATTAACAGTTAACACATTTTATTGCACCGTTATAATCAACTAGAGCACATGACAGACTGACTAAATTATTGATCGCATGAATATCACTCGATGATTCATCCCCCTTCCATGTACTCAAATCCTATCATTAGCTTTTTTTTCTCCTTGCTGCGCTGTTTTGTAATTTGACTATAAATTTGTCTTTGACATTGCTTGTATAAACTTATTCACCTCTCCGCTTCAAATTCGCTCGATGTGCTCATAGCTTTGTGATCTGTGCTATCTGCAAATTAACTGCAGTTGCCACCTCTCTTTCCCTTCTGATTTTGAATAATAACGGTTAGGAGAGTGATAAGCTAACGAAGCAAAGCAACTAAACGTCGTTATCTACTCACTTAAATAAACATTTCCGTTTGGTTTTAGTTAAATGCGTTTTGAACGTGACTTCTATATTATTATTATCATCATTATTACCACTACTGACCTTACTATGTGAGGTTTATTTTATCCTATTGATGTTATTCAGGATTAAATTTCGATCAGTGTTTGTTGGTTAATCGTACAACTGGAAATTGACTGCAGCAACAAATGTAAGACATTTCCTGAATATTACTTAATATAGAAAGTCAGCAAAGGCTTCATCACGTTTACGAATGAGTTGAGTGACCACTATTTTGAATATTACTAGGCTATTCATTAAAATAGTGCGAGATCGATGTGTCCTGGGTACGAATATTGCGGTAAGGAATCACAGATGCTCAGTGCTGAGAATTTCCATACTGAGATAAAACGGCCGTCTAGTCCTCCCAGGTTTTCCATGGTGGTCTAGCTTCATCGGACTCATGAATTCAATTATTAAACAATATATTCAGTTAGTCAATACGTTGTTCAAATATTTATACCAATAATGAAGTAATTCCGAAAGACAATACGAATATCAACATACAATGTTGATTTATTAGTGTTTTACATCACACCTCAATCAGTTTTGAAAACAATCTATCCGTTTTCATGTGTCACCTAGTGTTAAGGTTTCGAACTGTTGTAAAATGAAATGTAATCTGTGTAACATTCATGAACTTCAATATTTGATTCCTTTGATTAGAATAACAAATGTACAGTGAATAATTTGACTGTATGTAGTCAGAGTGAATAGATCACATTGAGGTGTTTTGTCACTGAATAAAATGATTTTAAAGAAAAATCGATATGTGCTATATGTGGTGTAGACTAGCATCAAGTTGGATTCGTACACAGAGATACGTATTCTACAATTACACATACATTCAGTAGGGATATTCCACGTACATTACCTACATTTCAGAGTATGCTTATTCTACTTGTTAATTAGTAGAATAATGCAGCCACACATAAACCGTTTTAGCCCCTCAAAAATACTATTTTGTCCAGGAACCACCTAAATCATAACCCGAACCGAATGAAAAATCACAAACATTTCGGAATCACCAATGAATTTTTCAGTTTGGATTACCATTACGTATAATTTTTTATGTTGGGCCTAGTCAAAATATCAAGCAGACTAAAAGACGGGATAGCTATCTTTGGAAGCTAGACTTAGTTCGACTCAACCTAAAAGATACAGAACGATGAACAATGGTTAACATGATATACGTCTGTTTGTTCAACCGATTTCGTCGACGAGATTGAATGTGATATTTCATGGTCTTGAATGGTCTTGACAACGAGTACAGAACTCCTTTCCTCTGCTTTCCAGTTGCTATTCATGCTTTTCATGTCCGCTTGCACTCCTCGATGCCCTGTGTTATTAGGCCTTCCTGTTTTCCGTTTCACTTCGGGATTCCAAATGATTGATTATCTCATATTACGGTTTGGTGATTGCCGAAATGTATATCTCATCCACTTCTAACGTCTTTTCCTAATTTCCTACTTGGATGGAACCAGGTTTCTTCTCTACCATAGTAAACTGTTGCTGGTGGTATCAAGCGCACGGACATTGGGTATCTTGTGTAATCAACTCTTTATAAATACCTGCAACGTTTTGATGATGGTTGTGGTAGATCTCTAGTTTTCAGCTTTGGATAATAGAATTAACTGTCTTGACGTCCGCATTGAACAATGTGACTTTTATATTGGTTAAGAGTTGTTTTCAGTTGTATGTGTTCTTCAACAGTAGCAATGCTGTCGTTGCTCAACCAATCCTTGTTTTTATTTCTGCATCAGACCCTCGTTTTTCATCGATGATGCCGATCACGTAAGTGAAAATTTCCATATGCAATATGATCACGAACGAATTCAGTTCGTGACGATTCCGTTTTGTACAAAACATACGATAACTTGATTTGCATCTGCTTGTTAAATCGATTTCTTTGACTAGATTCAGTATGATGTTGCATTTCAGATTAATTTACAGTCATGATAATGGGTTGTGGAGATTGACCCGACAAGCTTATTTTGTAAATAGTTTTCAATGTTATTTGTATTTATTTTGTCAACCTTTCACTGTATGTATATTTAATATTAAATGACTAACTGTTGTTTTAGTAAATGACCTTGAACACACTTTCCGTTGTACTACTACATAGCGTGACATACCGTTGCTGGCTAACAAATACAATGCTTCTCACATACTCCACGTTCTATTTTCATTTGTGATTGAGCTAACCGAAGTCTAACTCAAATACTATCTTCATTTATAGACTGTAACCGGAATATATCACATCCTACGTTGGGTTATATCATTAAAGAGTTCACCAACCTGTTCGGAATCAACAAACATTTATAAACTGGATTTACTTTACTGGACCTAATCATAACACGCAACGTCTGATCAATTTAAGTAACGTTCCCAATTTTTATTGTATTTGTGACAATTAATTATATATATTAATATTACTATTGATTTTTAATAACTTTGTTTATATTTTTTGTGTTCATATCTGTTTGGTCCGCCACAATTATTTTGTGAGCCTTGAATTCATTATAGACGTTTACTGTTTATATATATATTCATTTTTTTTATTACTTGGCACGCTAGTCCATTTACTTTTGTTTTTGCCATCATGAACTCTCCTGGTAAACTCATTGATATAGATAGTCCACTGATCAACTCTTCACAATCAGAAGATAATGCCTTAACCTCGATCAACGCAATTTCAGACTTAAGACTACCAACGTTCGGCGTTAATAATCCAAGAATCTGGTTTGCACAAATCGAAGCTTTGTTCATGGCTAGAGGTATAAGATCTCAAGCAACAAAGTATGCTTATGTAGTTGACGCACACCCTATTGAGATTGCTGCTGAAGTCGGAGATTTAATCGATCACGTGCCAGAAGCTGAACCTTATGATAAAATAAAGACAGCCGTAATCCAACGCACCTCGGTTTCAAACGAGAGAAGACTGCAGCATTAGCTAACGTCTTGCGAATTGGGGGACAAGAGACCCTCGCAATTACTCCGACATATGAAACATTTAGCAGGGTCATATAAGGTAGACGATGCATTACTTAAACAGATGTGGTTTCAACGTTTACCACAGAACGTCACCCAAATTCTCAGCGTATCAGGAACTTCCATCAAACACGACGATCTAGCTGATATGGCTGACAAAATGATGGAGATTTATCCCGACAGCCAGCGTTTGGATGTACTACAAACCTCTAGTAGAGACACGATTAGCCCATCTAACAGCATCCAACAACAAATAACACAGTTAACACAGCAGCTAGCAGCACTGCAGGCGACTATTTCTACCATCCATTCTCGACCTGCCAGATCTAAGTCCAGAAGGAGATCAGTATCCAGACCTCGTCTTAGGTCACCCAAACGGACAGCAGATACTTGCTGGTATCATGCGACTTTCGGGGAGAAGGCACGCCGTTGCACTAAA